AACATGCCCCCACCTATTCTATCAACTTACCCCGCATCCGAGGCATATTGTTACACATGACTTTACTTCCAAAATATTTACAAAATCTTTTATGTAACCAATTTTGTTCAATATAGAATACATAATTTTGATAAAGTACATATTTATCTTTCACTTTCATTCAGTTTCAATGTATGATTCGAGTTATTTCGCTAGATATTGGACTTTTTCTAAAAATCTTAACAACTAGCCCCGGTCTCCCCTACCTGGCAGATATTCAGCCCCGGCCAGGTATTGGGCTACCTGGTAATACTCAGCACCAGTCGAGTGTCGAAGCCCTAATCTTTGTGGCAATTAACACAGTAAAGTCAAAAACGTGTTCTGAGCAACAAAAACTGACTGCCCTCTGAAAGTTGGGGATTCAGAGAACAATAGGGGTTAATAACAGGCATGGCTTGAGAAGTGAATTTCTGGGGAAGGTTGGAGTTTTGAAAACAATAGGGGTTAGGGTTTGAGAAATTGGAGCTAGGCATTGAAAGTAAAACTCAAATGTTCTGTTGGTGATTATTTGGTTAAATGTAATAAACGTTTGTTTTCGATTCTAATTTTGTTTTTGTTGGGGGGGGGGAGAATCCAGTCCCGCTTGACACCCAGCCCTGGCCCAAAAACTAGTGACTGGGTACCCGAACCTGGTATTTGGCCAAATTTTACTACCCGTGCATCCCTAACAAAAACCATTACAAAGTGACATTAAAATGAATAAATGACCCTGAATAACTAAACTAAATGTCAAGCTGAACAATACTCGACTACTAAATAAAACTACACTATATTACGACACCCATTTCGGTGTTGAAAGTTAAACTTTTGGTGAGAAATAAATTATAAAATGTGGTGTGATGCTAACACATGGGTAATTCCCACTGAGAGAGGAAGGCCCACATATACGTTATGAAGGGGGGGGGGGCACAATATAATGTTCGCCAAGGTTGCTTTTGATGGAAATAGCTTACATGTGATTTAACTCTTGGGGAATAGATTCCTAATAATGGTAGGAAAAGCTTTCAGCCACAGTAAGACAACTCATGATTATCTAACCAGTCCTACCCAGTTCATGCCTACTCACTGCATAGCAACTAAAATGTATGAAATGAAAGTTTAAAAAATACAGAAAGGAAGAAAAGATAAAAGATCAGCCCCCAAGAAGCAATCAACCTCAGTCAGTTCGCAAATCAATCAGCTAGAGTTAAAAATCAGCAGCTCGAGTCAGTCCTGATAGAAACATACAAATAGAACAAGTCTCAACTTCTAAGTAAGTTTCTTATTATTTTTGAAGTTTAATATTGTACAAGAATTAAAAATTATCAATTAACCATTTGATTGAAAGAACCATGAGAGATTATTAACATAACATTGTACATAGAAGTATTAATAAATTTTGTATTTTCATTTCATCATTTTGAGTCTTTGTGTTTCTTATTCTCATGTAAACTTTGAGTAGGTGATTTGTGCACTACTGCCACTACCTGAATATTTCTGGTATTTAATATAGATAACAACTATTTGTAACTTGACAACTGTCTCTCAATAATACCCTGATAAAGAAGTCTAGACAAAATATAGACTAACACACACACAGGCACCAATGACTGTGCAGAAGTTCATATTTAAAATGCACATTACATAGTATTATTAAAATCAGGAAGCACAATTTCGTCTTAAACAAAATATCATGATATAATCATTAATGGATGATTGCGATGACCAGGTCTGGATAATATATTATCTACAAAATTTTAACTTGCCAAAAGTATACCATAGATAAAACTGTTTACACCATAGATTCATACTTTGTTTCAAATATAAATAGAGCAAGATGAATACTAAAACATAATTACTGCGTAAGTGTGTAATCAGTACGAACATTGGTAACTTGCATCCTCCCTTAGTCAAGCACTTTAGAGGAACATATCTCAAGAATAACATCACTAATATCAGAATTATCAAAACAGTTTTACTAACAAAGTACTTATAAATAAAAGCAGATCATTCAGAATGGAAATTCTTCATTTAAGTACGATTTTACCTCTTAAGTGGAAAAATGATGACGTAAATTCAGTTTAAATAAAAAAATAAATTGTAACGTTTATGTCCAGAAAAAAAGTGAGAAAAGCTTTGTTGTTTCCTGGTGTTTTAATTAATTTGTGTACCACCACAAACAATCATGTTTTGTGCATCTATTGAAGTGCAACACATACACACAAGTCTATGATCTATGTGCAAAACATAATGCTCAATAAAATTGAATGCACACTGAAATTGTAATCTATTAGATGCCTATAGACAATAACTGAATATATAACACAGCTGACATTATAAACATAGTCCTCATTAGATATTTAATTTTATCCAGGTCCCATATACAAAAGGCAATCCTGTGACAAAAACATTAAAAAAACAACAACAACTTGGACTCCTGTGAACTGAGTACTATTTAAACTGGCAGCTTTACAAACAGCTCAGTGACCTGATCTGTCATTAGTGTGTCAAAACAATTATGTTGACAACAGTGACTAGTACAAGGCTGGTGCTACAGCCTTTGAAGTGTATTACATTTTCATGAAGAGAACTTTCACTTTGCTAAAGAGATACACCACATGTAAGTATTGAAGTGGAGATGTTCTCGTAATGGCTGAATCAGCTAGATGTATTTTCAGCACCTAGATAAAGGAGACTCCTATCCAATAACGGGCGGATTCATAAGGGAAGTCTCCTTAATTAACCAACATCAATTTAGCAAGCCAGTCTTAAATGGCAGAATTACAGCCATATTTTATCTAGCATGTTTGGTTGTATAATTGCACAGAGACCCTCGCAGCATTGTCATCTGTACCACATTTATCTCATACTTAATTTAACAGTTAAATTTTGGCACAGTCTCACAATTTTATATCCATAAGCATATTCATGTCTACAAAATAAAAAAGGCAAAGGGACTATTCTGAAGAGTGGAAAAAAAAGAAAAATTGTTTTAAAAATAAACGTTTCAAAATCTTCCAACTTTCGAGGACTTGGAAAGGGTGATATCAGATCACCAGGTTTTATACTAGGTCTTTCAAATGGGCCAATAAAGGTCTTATAAGGAGTGTTTACAATCAAACAGCATGTTCAAACACCTTCCCACACTAAAAATTAAGTCTCTTTTTCTCAGCAGTGTGATATCAAACACTTAGTGTCATCAGAAATGAAAATTAGATGAGGTTAATTCCCATGGTGATTTAGAAACTTTCTTTTTCTATACCAGGTTGAATTCTTTCAGGTTTAGTTGAAGAATGGTGTCCTTCACTGCTGCAAAAACAAACCGAATGTTTTCCGTGTCTGCTCAGAAAAATAAGAAAACTTGGTAAGTATCACTAAACCAGTAAAGGAATAAAGCTATTAATACAAAAAAAATACAATTTGGATGAATTATTGAAGATACTAAAGGTCTATTTAATCAAGCGAGTGCCAGTTTTAAAAACTAAATCTAGACAAAGACAATTATTTATCAACAGCTTTTAATAACTACTATTATTGATTCTATAATTTTTTTTTGCAATGAGTAAGACATGCTGTAAGTGTCTGAAAACTTTTTTTTTTTTACATTTTGATTTACCACTTAAGTTTTTAACATACTTAAACATTTTCAAGTTACATTAAGTTACATGTTCATTAAGTTGAGAGCATGTTTACAGCAACACAGCCACACATTATCATTTTACTATTTCCAATTATTTTTTTTGTTAACTTATAGAATGTGCATAAAGAACTACAACTGAAAGAGGTCAGCGCTTCAGGTTTGGTAATTTATTTATACTAAATAAATAAAAGCTGTTTAACTTCCAGTTAATATTTTGCTATACAAATATTTTTATTTTCAAGATTTTCTCTAAGCAGAGAAATTCTACACTATTTATCTATAAACAAAAATGTAATGCTTTTTTTCTTAATTTCACACATACAGTTCACGTAATACTGTAAACGTTAATTTTTCTCAGAGTTAGGGATGGGGCAAACTATAGTTTTGGTTGGATATTGGATTTCCAGATCATGATATTCAATCAGATTTTAATATATTGGTTCAGATAGTAGATGTGGCCATACTGCAGGTATGAGTTATCATTTCATTATAATATAGTATTAAACTACTTATTCATCACTGTTTTTTGAAAACTTAATAAGGATGTACAGTTCCACATTAGTAGGTGACCATTGAGGGCCCTTTTAACAAAATGTTGCACATATTGGCATGAGAATGCTTTACACCTCTCCCAAGACTGACTGTTGTTTGGCACGTGCTTACCAGTGGTGTAAACTGGCAACACAATGGGTTAGCATGATGTATATTTAAACTACATATTGACTGTTCGAGTTCAGACTATTACAACCACCAAAGTTCCCACTGTTTAATACTACTATGTTTAGAAGCTAGTTAAAATCACCAATGCAATAACTACTAGTAGTATAATGAATGCATAATAATGTGAGATAATCTATTCATGAAAATGCTACCTGATTATCTTATTTATCACAAAATTGATATTTGATCTAATACCTACCTTGGACTTTTCTATTTTTTGTGGTGACACCGAATTGGAATGTCAATAATGATCACGTGATATTAATTTAAGTTTCAATTGGGATGTTTTTTAACTTTGTAAATAGTGTGTCCATTTCTTCATAGTATCTATTATTGGAAGGAATGTCATGTGTTGATTGGTTATTATTGTATTCTTCCTAGCTTCCTGTAGACAATAAAGTCTGTTCTTATGACTTACCTGATATAATGGTTGATTTCCTTTGGAATGTTTTTCCTAACAAACAGGCTTTCTTTAATTCTAATAATACATAGTTAAATTGTTAACATCATTAAGTTCATTATTAGTGCTACTTACTTTTTCCTTTGTTTTTCTTGGATTAGTTGAAAAGTGTATGTTTCACTTGTTTCTCATGATTAAAAGCTATGACACTATTCTTAGATAGTTTCATGAGAATGCAAATAATATATAATTAATTAACAATCATTTTAAAAATGCCAGTTTTTGATCTTGAATCTTTGGTGGTATTTCGAGCACTTGTATTAATGAATAACCGATATTAACAATTACTTAAAAATAACTGTTAAATTCATTAAGTTACAAAAAGTAGGTCAGTACCTTATTAATCATGCTCATGATCATTATAAGAAAAAAAAGTGAAGTTTTAAAAGCAGATAATACGTTGGTACAATAACAAAATTAATAACTTAGTATACTATTAAAACATATGTTGACAAACAAGAACTCTTAAACCTGATACATCTGTGACACAACTTACTGTCATCAAATCAGACAAGCTTGTTTGACATGATTATGTCCTTTACAGCACATGTGACCAGCTCAGTGTGGTATCTGCATTTTTAAGTATTAGAAGTGCAAGCAGAGAAATTGATATTGGAAAAAAAATATTAGTAACAGAATCAATATGACATAGATCAAAATTATAGAATAAGTAACATGCTAAGAGGTCACACGCTGTTCAGACTCAAATGAAACGGAGCAGTACATTAGACTATAATTTAAAAACAAATTCAACTTGAAAACATTACCACAATCAAATGTCACTAATATTATCCCATCCTCACTGAGTGCTGCTTTGAGACCAAGGTGTTTAATGCTGTTTTTGATCTGCTATTGAAAATTCTAGCTCTTCATTGTTGCTGATGTGTCAAGGGTCTATTAGGGTCTACATCCAAACATCCATAGATACCAGATGCTCATCTCTTAGAGCCTCTTTTAACTCATTGAAGCACCTCTTTCTCTTCCCTCTGCTTCTGTAGAACCAAAGACATCAATCACACTAACAAGTTTATCCTCAAAATGTTTTTGACCTTATCCCAGACAATGAAAAATTCATCTATTCATGGTTCGCCAGTGCAACAAGTAGGAACATCTTACTTGTGCTTGTGCTAACTAGATGTGAAAGTTTGTCAATGGCGACTCAAGGATGCGACTCCTGTGTATATGAATGCTTGCCATCAGTGAATTTGTCAAATTCACAACCTCTTTTTAATTCTTCTCATCTGTTTTTTTTTGGAATTAATGTTATGTGGAGATGGCAGTTAGTATATCATTTTTTAACATAAATAAACATGATATCCTTATTGTAAACACTTTTGTGCTTATTAGGCTTACCTGTGGCACATGTGAAGTGAGAGTAAATCATACGATCAGGGTCAGGATTCTGAGCCAGATACATCTTTAAGATGAACTCCCGGGCTGCAATGTGGTCCTGCTTAGGGCCTATAACAATGAATTCCAAAATTGGTACCAGACAAAACATATTCCTTTAAGGAGAAAAAGATGTTAAACTTTCGCTTTAAGTTCTTCTGTTCTCTGAAAGTTCCAACTCTCCAGTAACAAAAGTAATTCATTAGACTTACTGTGTTTGTGCAGGGTATGTGCACAAAAAATATAGTATTTGTAGTAAATATACAGTATGATTTGATTCTTTAGTTTCACAATACAATTAATATACTTGTTTTGGATAATAATAAAATATAACTTGAATGCTTTAATTTTTAACATCAAGTTGAACAGTTTGCTTGTTTTATTGTATTTCGCACAGAGCTACATGACGTATATTTGTACTAGCCACCCCCCATTTTTGAAATGAAAGACTAGACAGAAGGCAACTAGTCAAAACCATCCTCTGCCAACTTTAGGACTATCCTTTTCAGACTGAATAGTGGAACTTGACCATCACTCTTACATTGCACCACACACCTAATTCACAGAGCTATGTTTTTATTTTCAGTAATGTATTACAAATCACAGAACCTTAGATCCACAATCTGGGATTCTAACTACTGGACTACACTTAGTCCTCCATTTGAGCAGATCATGCTCATTCTTTTCAGGTTAGTGAAAATCTGAGAGATTAAATATTGATAACATTAAGGTAAATGTAGCTTATTATTATCTTGTATTAAATGATGTTAATATATGAGTGCAATAAATAGCAAGTTATAATTAAATACTCAAATCCTCATATGTGTGTAGATTCACTGTCAGTTTTGTAAGACTTGTATTTAATATGAATATGTAAGTGTGTAAAAGTGTAAAATATATTTGGGATCACAGACTGGCAAGATAAAAGATAAATGATATATGAGTGCAATAAATAGCAAGTTATAATTAAATACTCAAATCCTCATATGTCATTAAAAATGAGTGTAGATTCACTGTCAGTTTTGTAAGACTTGTATTTAATATGAATATGTAAGCGTGTAAATGTACCTATACACTAAAGTGTAAAATATATTTGGGATCACAGACTGGCAAGATAAAAGATAAAGGACCATATCAAAACATTAATAACATTCAGGTTCTTAACTCTTTGACTACGAGCTGGGTGCATTGCACCTACCCTGCAACCACCAAAGTAACCATGAGAATAGTCATACTATAACTTGTGATAAAGTACGCTTATATTCACAAAATTTCATACATTATCAGCGAACATTACAAGGCTTTCATACACAAAATATCAGATATTTTAATTAAGTTTTATGATTTTTTAATTAAAAATTTGCTTGCAAATTTTTTTCTTTCGAAGTGTTGACTGTCCAACTTGTAAATTAATTTCTATTTTAAGATTAAAAATACCTTTCTTCATCTAAAAATTGTCAAATTTAATTTGCATAATTTCTATAACATCCTAGATATATCGAATGTTTATTTTTAAAAAAAACTTCATATTTCATCTACCTTAACTCTATATAGGGTTGGTTGACTTAACTGATTTTGTAACCACTATAAAAAATTAGGAAATAAATTCAAACTGCCTTTTTTTTCATTCTAGAATGACTGCAAATTGTAACAGGAAACCACAAATGTGTATTATAAATAGCTCAAATCTCATAACAGTATACATCTATATATATTTATTAATGTTTTGTTTTATCGACCTTTGAACCATGTCCGACTAATAATACTGCCACAAAAACTGTAAATCACAAGGCAGCTCATATTATCATATCGAATAACGTAAAACTTTCCTTTACAAAGTACAGATGTCTTATTCTTCTTAGTACTAGTGTAGCAGTATTTTGTGAAATACAGTAACATTTCAGTTACCATACATTATTACAATATTATTACTATTTACAAATGAATTCTTAAATTCCAGTTATTTCTCTTAAAATATGGAATGGTAAATAAAAAAATATATAAAAAAATTATCTACTATTCACGATGTTTTTTGGTACTTGTGCTTCATATTTGCCAAGCCTTGTTAAGTTTTGCAGGTTGAGGATGTAAGAAAAAAAAAATTGTTTGTCGGTTTTATTTGTGCATTTTGAAATAACAAAAAATTATAAATTACTATACTAATACCACAAAATTTCACTATAATTTATTAGGCTTCCTAACTAAGCTGTATTTGGGTCTAAACAAACATTATTTCCACTCAGCATATCACTTTGATCATCACTCTTCAAACTTTGCAATGGTAATGATGACTTAATCTGTGTAAATAGTTTAGGAGGACTGACAGAATTATGTAGTACAAAATGAGTGCTCTTGATGGGTTAGAAACATGTAATTGAGGGAAGTGGGAATAGGTGAACAAGTATTTTCAAAAGAGAAAAAGGTGGTGGATTCATTAAATATAATATCTCAGCAAATAAAAAAGGTAGGAGGTTCTTATTCTCTATTCGATATTCTTGCTTGTCATTATCGGTAATTTGAGTTTCTAATTCATAAACTATAGATGTTTCATTGTGGGCACCATAAAACATAATCTGACCAAAAGCAGAAGACAATGTACTATGTGACACATGAAAATCAATATTTAGCAATTTCTTTATAATATTTACAATTAAATTAAGAAATTAAATAATGTATAATACTAACATTTGAATTATAATCTACAATTTGATGCCAAAATTATTGACACACATTCATAAAATAGTAGTTTGATAAATATTTTGAATGCAAATTTACAAGGGTGATGACATGCTCTCTGACCTTTACCCTATGAAAAGGGTTAATCTAAATGTACACCTTTTATGAAAACAAAGGTAGATGAAAGATCTTTCTCTGATTTGATGTAGTGAGAATAATCTTGAATGTGG